TCTTCTTACAGAATACATGAAGATCATTGCTATTTTCTACTACCCGCTCCTGTACTATCCCCTGCTGGTGTGCGGCACCCTGCAGCTCAAAGCGGGCTACGTGTTCGGGACCCTGCTGTCCTTCACCCACTTTGGGGTCCTGGTGTGGCAGAAGTTCGACTGTCCCAAGACTCCCGAGGTGAGGCACCAGCCCAGAGCACTGATAAAGGCGCCGTTTTGTTCAGATTTAAAGCGGAAAATGAACTGTCTGAACCCCCCAGCAGGTAAAGGGTGAGAGGGCTACGTCTGGAATACACCATTAAAGCCGCCATTTTGGATCCTAGAGCAAGTATTTTAAATGGGAAGGTGTTCATGTGGCAGAGCCCTCCTGTTGTTTTTGCTAATTTATGAATAGATGACTTTCTAATCATAAGAGATAATACAAATTTGATTAATGCTAATAGTTTCTGACACATTTCTGACCTTCTTAATTTGCCACATGACCACCTTCGTATTGGGAAAACTTACTTGTTATCCAAAATGGCCGCTTTCAAGAGATGGAACCAGTGCCTTTGCAGCCACACTCAGATCCTGATGGGACCTTATATATTTATATATCAGCGTATATAAATCTAGCTATTTATATACAGGAATATCCCTTTAGAGGGCACTCAATGAAATACTTTAAGATAAAAAAAATTCAAGAGTGTTATTGGACAACATCATAAGACTTTATTACATTTGTGACATTTTTCAATTTTTCTAATTATAACTAACATGTGAGGAAATAACCAAAAACAGTCACTTGCCCGATAAAGGAATATATATATATATATAAATATATACTGTATATACTGTATATATAATATATATAGGAAGCAGCACTGTTGAGTTTATCCAAGATACTTAGATAATTAACCATTATTAATCCAGACTAAAACAGTTCAGGATGTGTTTTGCTTGGCCTGAACCTTTAAAACATGCCTTTCTCTTGAATCTCCACAGATCTATAAGTACTACGCGCTGCTAGCCAGCCTGCCCCAGCTAGCCTGCCTGGCCTACCTCTGCGTGCAGTTTCCCGTGCTCTTCATCAAAGGGCCGAAGGCCGACGAGGTGAAAACACCGAGTTCCCCGTGTTCTCCAGCCCTAAACGTGCAGCCAGCATCATGTAAAGTAGCTTTTAGAGCTATTTCCGGCGCAGCTGAAATAAACAGAGAGAATTTCAAGCATGCAAAACGTAAACATGATTACAGAAAGAAGCTTGTTTTTGGGTTTAACTCGGCTCTGTGGAGCAGATTATGACGAGAGGGGCGCTCTGAGCTCACAGTGGGACTTTTGTTATTTCTGTTTCCTCATTAATCAGTAAAAAAAGAGCAGTTTTTCCTGTTCATTTAGTGACATTCTTAATCCAGCCCTGGTTAAAAGGATGTGCATTGTGCATTTTCTCTTTGGTGTTGTCTCATCATGTTTTTGCTCTCAGGACCTTGACAGCAGCTACTACAACAACTATGTGAAATCTCTTCTTAAAAGAAAGTCCTTGTCCACCAGGTGAGTGCAGATTAAACAGAAACTGAGGCCATTAAACAGTAAATGTGTCAATATAGGATTTTTAAAGTTAAGAATGTGTGTTGTGTGTGAGGTTTCATGCCTTTACTTTAAGTTTGTTTCAGTGTTTAAGTGTATTTTACCTGCATTTTATCCTCAAGAAAAGTAGATTCAGTGCTTTCCATCATTCTTTAAAACCTTAAAATACTCTTCTAGACACAAATAAGAAATTACAAGAAAACAGACAATGTAAGTGGTGAAGAAATAGACGAAAAAACAGAAAATGGAAATGATATTTATCTGTCTGTGGATTTAGTTGTTTATATTATAACTCCAAATCTTTGGTTCTGTGTGCCAGTGAATGTTTTCAGTATTTATCTGGCAATTAAAGGCTGAAACCAACCCATTTTTTTCAAATACTAGCAGAGACTTTATCTAATATATGATTCCACAGAAAATTACAGAAAACTTTAAGTCAATCTACAACCAAAACCACATTAATTGGCTAATTCTACATATACAGTACTCAATCGAGTAGTTTTGGTTCATACCTCCTGAAGTGGGGAATATGTTGGCTTAATTTTAAGCTTTTTCATGCTTTAAAATGCTTTATGAAAACACGATCCATGACTTTTACCCTTCTAAAGAACATATGAAGAAGCTGCTGTTGGCCAAAGTCATTGAAAAATATTCTCCATCATAGCAGAAGAAATAGCTTAATTGGTCCAACCTTAGAGGGTGACACCCCAAAAACATGACTTTTGACCCCCAATTGGCAATCAGCATTGAGAAACAGCATAATTTCCCCAGCCTAAGATGTCATTTCCCCATAATTTGTGTTTTATGTGCTTCAGTTCGGATTTAGAAAAGCCATCTCTGGCAAAGAGGATCCTGGAGGTGGCCAAAGGTTACATCTACACACCCGAAAAAGGTCAGTTTCCCCCCGTTAAACCACACAGAAACACCTGCTGCTCTTGGACTTTTTTTTAACAATCTTCTCGCCTCTCAGTGTTCCGTTTTCCGCTCAAACTGGCAGTGTCGTCCTTCATCACGGGCGTGGCCATCTATCAGGTAAGCCAGAGCCGGCCGGCCGGGGAGGGTCAGCTTCTCGGTCTGAGGGTCTGACCTGGGGCTGGTTTCCGGCCCTCAGGCCGCCCTGCTGCTGGTGGTCCTGGTGGTGCCCACCCTGCACATCGTCCGGGCCGGTATCGACGAGAACATCGCCTTCCTGCTGCTGGGCTTCGGCATCGTGCTGTCAGACGACCGCATGGAGGTGGTCCGCATCGTGACCTTCTACACCTGGCTGCTGGAAGGTGTGCTGGTCATTTGATTTTAATTTGTCTGAACTCAACCTGAGGATGCAATCTGAGATATATTCCTTTGTGTCTCATCTCAGTGTGCTACCTCTGTGCCATGACCCTGTCCTGTCTGGTCAGTATTTTCATGCTCATGAGGTCCATGGTTCTGCACAGGTAGGTGCAAAGTAGAACTAGAGAAATACTTTATTCATACTTTCAGACTGAATATATTTTTTTTATTAGAACAAACAGGTAAATTTTTGCTTCTTCTCTCAGTTTTTGGTCTTAATATTTCACTTCAAGTTTGATATTTCTTCCATTTGGTTCTCCTAAAGTAGAAACCTCTGAACACAGTGGGGGATGTACAAGGATTTAGACTGGAAATCATGCATAAAATGAGAATAAAATGCAGGACAAAGCCAGATAACAAGAAACTAAACCTTAAGACCAGGAGAAAGACCCAAAAAATCACAGAAAAACGCATAGGTATAGCATTAAGCGGATGGACAGAAAACAAACAAGAATCTGACAAACAATAACTGGTCACAGGAAATGGACAGAAACCACAATAAAACAGGAAGCTTGAACTGGAACTAATATGCAGAAAATTGGAAAAAAAAGACAGATAATCAAACTGGAAACAGAAAAAATAAAGAATAAAGTCCACAAAGAGCTCATGGCAATGCTTTAAAAAGCCCCATAACTAAAGGGATGAGCCAGTGTCGCATCAGTACATGACAGATAAGTTTTGACAATACATTTCTTTATCTACAGCAAAAAAAAGAGTCAAAGATCGCACTGAGAAAATAATAAAGAAGTCATCCATCAAAGATCGATGCACCTTTTTCACATTTTCCCGGCAAAACTTAAAGAAACAAGGCTAACATACTCAGAAAATTATGTCCTTCTCTCTATTTGATTTGTGACTTAGATGTTAGACAGGAAAGATGTGGAGTTTGAGATGGAGCGTCTGATTTTATTCCAGGTCGAACCTGAGGGGACTGTACAAGGGCGACGTTTACAGCATCTATAAGAGCCAGAAGACCATCCGGCCCTCTAAAGTCGGGGTGGTCTGCTGGATGGGGCTCACGGGGTACCAGGCTGCCATCGTCTGCCTCGGTAACGCTGAACGGAAAACCTACAAGTGTTTATGTTTATGCTTTTAGACGCTTTTATTCAAAGCAATTACAAAGTAGACATGATTTTACAGCTATCATCAATATGAAAATATGTTCTCTAGAGGAAAATCCCCAGCAAAAACAGCCTCAAAGGACTAAGTATTTAAAATTATATGACGAGAAAAGATTATGATGTTAAATGACATAATTCTGCAGGTTTGTAAGAAAATGACAAAAATAGAATTTTGTTTTATTTTTTATTATTGCTAAATGTGTTTGATCTGTTGTGAGGAGGTTTTGGGGCTATTTTGAGCAGCTTCTAGCTGCAGCCTCTAGGAGCCTCGGCTGGATATCCAACTCTTCCCACATCCAAGTCGGCCATTTTGATTTGGTCATGTGACTAGCAGCTTTCTGAGGTGGAAAAGAAACTTTACTGTCTATACGAAATCGGAAGACAAACGATATCCTAACCCTAACCCTAACCCTGACCCTAACCCTAACCCTGACCCTAACCCTAACCCTAACACTAACACTAACACTAACATTAATCCTGACCCTAACCCTGACCCTAACCCTAACCCTGACCCTAACCTAACCTAACCTAACCTAACCTAACCTAACCTTAACCCTAACCCTAACCCTAACTCTTACCCTGACCCTGACCCTTACCCTAACGCTAACCCTAAACCCTTCATAATTGTGAGAAATAAATATTTTTTGGTTAAATTTGTTTGGACTTATTGTACAAACCTATTTAACATCCACTATTTTAACATAATATTATGGATAGAGTTTAATTCAGTGTTTGCAAGATTCATTTTCTATTTTTAAATTAATGTCTATATTGTCATCATCAATTAGAATTTTCTTGCCTGGGATCTTCCTATCGGTGACCTAATCAAAATGGCCGACTTGGATGTGGGCAGAGTTGGATATCCATCCTTGCCTTCCTGCAGTCTGCAGCCAGACGGACTCTGCTATTTTAGATGTATAAGAGAATGAAAAAAAACATCAAACCGAGCTGGATTGTAAGGTTGATCCTCTGTCCGGGCAGGAATGGCCATCCAGACGCTGGTGTTCTTCATCTGCTTCCTGTTCCTGGTGTTTCTCATCATCATCCCCGTGTTTCACGGCCGGAACATCGTCGTGTTTGAGGTTGCAGGAAAGGCCTGGTGCGTCGGTAATCCCGTGCATGTGGCTTTTTTTCCCCTGTTTCCTGGTGTCTGCTTGAACAAACCCTTCGTCCGTGTCCCAGGCCTGTGTGGGTCACCCTCCTGCTGGTGACCGCCCTCCAGCACCTGACCGCAAAGTTTCTGTTCATAAAGAACGAGGCCGGGACCAGAGATTTAAAGAACAGGTACGCTGGGGGGTCCCAAATCCTTTATTAGAACAAAGTAAAGACTAAAGAAGTCTTTATACATTTTAGATGGCTTGCTGTTGAGTATAAGACGTAAAAACAACACATTTTTAGTTGATTTTGGGTTTTAATGTATTTTGAAAGCACCTCATTAATTGAATTTTTTTTGTGTCAATTTAACAAATAAACCTGAAAGGAAATTGACTTGGTGATAAAACATATTGAGAACAATATTTCAACTGCTTTCTTTTGCTCCTTTATGCAGGATCATCCTTATTTTTTGTTTTGTTTTTGTTTTGTTTTTTTTGCACCTTGTGTGCAAGCAATAATGCTTCAAATCAAAAACCATCTTTAAAAGGCTTTAAAGTTGTTGTTTTTTGCTGTTTTCTGAAAGGGATTTACTCCCCTTGCCAATGGTCTTCACCTCATTGGAGGGACACATTTAAGGGATCCTCAGGAATTAGAAGCAGCTTAACCGCTGGAAAATAATTCTCAGTATATTAACGTTATCGATAAATGACTTACTTTGTATATTTAAAATGACCCCACCCTCCCATTCAGACACAGTTGGGATAGGCTCCGCCCCCCGGTGACAAAACCAAATCCAACTTTGGAAAAAGCGAGAATAGAAAATAGATGGGTGGATTCTAAGTTTTGGTCCTAAGAGGTCCTACAGCAGCATGTGTGGGTGGAAACTGACTAAAGCGACCAGTGTCTGAATCTTTTTGGGGGAGTTTGAGGAGATCAGTATTGTGTTTTTAGGCAGGAAGACGGTTTTGTCATTGGACTCTGCAGGTTGTAGCTCCTACGAGTTGAAGGTTTCTCTGGTTTCTGAAACGTTTCTCTGGGCCTTTCAGGGAGAGTCTGTTCCTGCTGACCTACCTGCTGTTCGTGGTCAACATTGTGGTGGGGCTGGTGGTGGCCATATGGAGGATGGTGATAACCGCCTTGTTCAACATCATCCACCTGGGCCGTGTGGACATCAGCCTCCTGCACCGCACGGCGGAGTTCTACGACCCGGGTAAGGTGGCTTAGGGACTCAGGAACGAGGCGCGCGAGGCGTTCGCTGACATCCCTCCGCCTCTTCCAGCCTACAGCTACTACGCCAGCTTCCTGAAGGTGGAGGTCAGCCAGTCGCACCCGGTGCTGAAGGCCTTCTGCGGGCTGCTGCTGGACGCCATGGTGGAGGGCGGAAGAGCCGGGCAGAAAATACGAGATGCGGAGGAAGGTACTGATGACAGGTCCCGGTTTGAGTCCCAGCTTGGGACAGTGGCCTCCCCCCCACAGCCAACATTTAGCTAACTGTGACCATGAATGAACACCTAAAAGTCCCAGTTCATGTTTGGCTCTGTAGAGGACTCACAAACAACCCTTTTGCTCCTCCAGTGACAAATGGGGGAGGGCTTATTCAGCTGGTTTAGAAAAAGGATGGAAGGGGTATATTCCGTTAACCCGTAGTCAAACTATCCAGAGAATCAGTGTTTACCAACCCAGGTCCTAACGAACGGATCTTGGAAAACCATCCCATTTATTTGAGGCAGGGGGCAGGAAGGGGGACACTTGAGGACCAGGGCTGGGAGACACTGGTGTAGACTCTCCTGAAGGTAAAATCAAAGACGGCGGACAGTCTGATTGGCTCAAAAACACAGAAAAAATGTGGAATTGCATTCAATTGTTTCCCACTTTGCTACCCAGGTTTAAACAATCAATTCCCTTCTGTGGTTTAAAAGGTGTAATTAGAAATAATAAAATAAGCTGCTTTTCCACACGTATTGACTGCCCCTTGATGTTGTTTAGATTTAGTTTTTCTAGTAAGTTTTTCTTTAAAACCTTCAATGAAATATAAGTTTTATCTATAGACGTCTTCTCAAACAAACTTAATTTTACTTGATTTAGCTGAAAAATGGCTATAACCCAAAATCCACTCTGATTAAATCAAAAACATATCAGGGACAAATGAATATCAGGAAACCCACTCTGGAGTAAAACGAGTAGAGGGTGACTTCTGAGACCTTTTTAGAGACGTTTTAGACTTTTAGAAAGAAAAGGAAAGTGGTGGCAGCCATTTTAAATCTTTGGCTTCTCCGTAAAATCTTGATTGGAAATATGATACAGGAACATGTCTGTTATTAAGTCTGCTCCTCCAGGGCCAGTTGTTTTTAATGTTTCACAGCTTCTACACACCTGATCAGTGGCCTAAAGATTCTGTCGTTTATTCTGTCGTTTGGAGCTCAGATTTTGACCACGAGATGGACGGGAGCCCCCTAACTGTTAATGCCTTTAATCAGTTTCATTCTGAGAACATTAGAGTTATATTTAGGAAATGGAAGTTGGGAGATTATGTCAGATTTTAAGCAACCCACCAGCCATCTCTGCACAAAGGACTTTTTCATTGAGGAAACACATCTTCTACATTGCTATTAATTCAGAACAAAGATGCTGTAAACAATTGGTTTTTTATGTTATCCCAGTCTGAGCCCACTCTTCCTGCATGCTTTCAGGGATTCAGGAGAACCGGCCCGGCAAGGCGACCAGCAGCCGGAGGATCTGCGCCCGCTGGCAGCTGCTCTACACGCTGGTGAAGAACCCCTCCCTGCTGGGCTCCAGGAAGCACTTCCAGACCCTGCAGAGCTCGGGAAGCGTCCTGAACGGCACCCCCAACCGCACCACCAAGAAGGGCAGCGTGAGGGAGGCCGGGGAGCCGGCGGCCGAGCCGGTCCAGGCCCCAGAAACCCCAGCAGGCCAAGAAAAAACCGAATGAAAGCCCTCTTCTACACCCTGAACAAACAAGCAGAGTGTTCGATGTGTGTTCTGCCACATGCTGCTTTGATTTAGAAACTCTTTTAGCTGAAAACCTCATTTAACCTTGTGAGTCTATCACTCAAATGTCCATTTCTGCTGTATTTGCTTATTTTCACCTTTCAAGGCGCTTCATATACGCTGATACTCCAAGTGAAAACGCACAGAGTGAGCTCTGAATGAAGAATGAATAAGAACAAACTTGTACTGGACTCGGTGACAAAAAAATCAGGCTTCCAAGCTGGAAATGTGGACTTTTCTATGTGTTAAACAGCAATGGGGGAATTAGCGGGATGCTGCGTTTGAGGACCAGTGAAACGTTTTGTAAATCACAAAGCTCCCCATGAACAAGACAGAGGTGTGTTACACAGGAAAAACTATGTAAATGTGTGTGCTATTATTTCTGTGCATGGCTTAAATGGTTTAATTGGTAAAAAGAAATAAAAAAGAAATAAAATGTGCAACTCTCTAAGATGGTTGCTGATGTCTTTCCTCCTTGGCTTTCTGCACAGCTTCTTTTTTATCATTAAAAGACATTTGTGAAATATCTAATGTGTCTTTTAAGGTTGTATCCGTCTCATTTTAAGACCCAGTAAGAATCAGATCACATGATAGGCTGACAGAATCATCTGATATACGACAGCTGTCCTTTGGTAAGCCTGTATTGATGAGCACACACAGACAGTTCTGATCAATACCAGCATCGATCAATAGGACCTATCGGATTATCTTTGCCCTCATTGGCCATGTCAGCACAAACTGAATCACATGTTTTTTTTACAGTGCTCTATGCTTCAATGCAACATGAGAGGATTTTTTAGTTTTAACTTGCTGCTGTGCTGCAAAAGAAAAAAAAATACAAACCATGGCTTTAGCTTTGTTAGAAATGTGGATGTGGATCAATGTCTGCATCTCATCTTTGTGATGATTATTTAAATACAGGCGTATTTAACACTCGGAAGCCAAATCCCAATTATGCTGTTTTACTCCCTTATATTTTTTTTAGGGTGAAAGAATAAATTGTTTTTTTAAATTTGAAATAAGACGTGTTTTTAATCTTTTAATTTATAGCATTAGCTTATGAAAACGTTTCATTAAATCAGTTTTTTAATAAAAGTTCGACACATTCTCAAAATAAATGTGTTGCAAATAGTGTAGAACGTGTAAATATGATAAAATATTGCTTCATATTACCACGATTCATGGAAATAATTTTTCATTCGGGATGGCTTACATGCTCATGATAAAATTGGGAGCAAAAATAAAAGAAATACACAAACACAATGATTTGTTTTTCTTCTCTTTAAACTTTATTGAGGCACATGGGAAACACTTTGGTAAAACATCTATTTTCTGTCTATCCGGGGTACAAAACAGAGAGAAACATTCACTGAGGGTTGTTATTTGAGTGGAGAATATTTATGAAGGAGCAACGACTGGCAGCATGCAGGTCCTAAAAACACACCACGGTGGACAAAAGACACTTGGAGTAGATTTGATTTTGCTGTGAATTTTAGAAGAATTCGCACACATTACCTCCACGTTAGGGTTTGTTTACAACACTCATTTTTTCTGTACTGAGCACAGTTTTATTCACAGGAAGGTTTTACAGTACTACTGGACTAACGGCGTGACGTACAGCTCATATTAGCAGAACACAGTACTTTTAAGTGGTCAACATTTTAAACAACATTTAAACCTATGTCAAATTTAAGCCTTTGTTTTATAAGCAACTGCTATCCAAATACAGGGTGAGTCATATAAGAAGTCCCTTTGTTTCAGAAATGAGAGGGAAAAGGACTTATACAGGGCATAAGACAGGAAGTGTCTAGTTTGTTTAATCTGATTTGCAAAATGTCTTGTGGTAAAGTCATCAAAAACAGAAAAGTGCAACAACAACTTGAAACTTTAACCTGTTTTTGATGTGTCACATCACAAGAAATTTCCCAGCTGATGTACATTTGTGTATCGATAATTTTTTAACCAAAAGAGATATTTCAAATCTGATTGCTGAAATCGATTTCTGAGACTAGTTTGGTCTTCTTTGATACGCTACATGACAACCCACCGTTCGGAAAGATTTTAGCTCGATCCAATATGGCGGCTCACAAGATGGCGGCCATGTTCCAGATACAGCCTTAAGTATAGCCCCGGCCACCCATTCTGGCTGGGGTATTTCTAAAATAAATGTTTGTCCAGAGACTTTTGACTGAGCCTGTGGCCTCTTCTGGTCATTTTGCTCAAACTTTAGATTTGACTGCTTTGCATAAGACCCTCATAGATTTAAAGTGTTAAAAAGGTGGTAATTGGGATGTATAAAACGTCCTGTGTTGTTTGTGAATGTGGATGTGATGACAAGAATGGTGTTTACATAACCGGATCACAGAGACTGACACAAACTACGAGTTCACTGACATTTTGAATGCACTTTTTGTTGATGTGATATACTTTATAGTTTAAAAGATGCTGTGTTAAAGGGTACATATCACTCTTGGTACTTCTTTTTGTTCTGCACCCTAGTTGAATAATAGGCATAATGCAATATCATGATCAAATGTAATACCTGTATTGATCTAAGCTTCAAGGGTTGCACAAAAATGCTCAAAGTCTTTAATCACTGTTGCAAATATAACTTTTTTCTGTTTTCTAATAATACTCATCACAAGCCAGCTTGGGATAAAAAGACAGCATCCAAAGTTAACATATCAGATTTCTATCATCAGATTGTCCTTTCTAACACGAAGGCTAAAATTAAATGACTTGTAATCCAAGTTAAGTGAAAAAAAACCCAGCTTTTATGATCGTTTTGGTTGCAGTGACACTGCAATAAGATTATATTTTATCCCTAAATATGATGTTTCTACTTCCCTAAACATTCAGTTTTGATTTCTTGCTCAAACTCAGTGAATTTATCATCTTTACTCTATTGACCTTCGAGTAAAAGATGTCTAATTTGCTTAAACATTTTCAACTTTTTCTCCTTTCTTTCTCCACTGTGCTATGCTTATGTGATACTGAAGCTAAGCTATTCAAAGCGATAACAAATTTAACCCTGTATTACGACACTACTGTTTTTCACACGCAGACAAATGTTCAGTTTGCACGTTTTCTTAAAAAAAAACGGTTGTACTTCGAGCAGGAGCTGACTTTAGCCATCGACTTGTTTTATGGTATCAGAGAAAATAAGGCATTTCTAGTTTGTTTTCAATCAGAAAACATCATAATAGGGAATGACTTTTGATTTATCTAAGCAAAAACAAAGCAGAAGACAACTCTTTACATTTGATTTGAGATATTCTGAAATGCTATATTCTGGACTGTGATGCATGCAAGTTGTCTGAAACATTCTTTATCTAAGGAAGTGATAAAAACCTATTCAAAGGACATCCATAAAACAGAGTTTCAGTCAGAAACTAAAACAAAGGGACAGCATCTTCTGCATTTGTCTGTATGAGAATCACTATTGGCTTGAATTATTGCACTTGGGTAGATATATTCCATGATTGTCTATCACTATGAAAGCTGCAGTATAACTGGGAACACGAATCATGACAAACTCTTCTTAGTTTCCGCTGTTATAACAAGACAAATTGGAAAGAACATCCTGCGTTTAACATTTTCTACTCAAGATTTAAATTTTTGGTGATCACTTATCAACATAAAGCCATAACTGCAGAGAAATGGCACATGAAAAGTGGCAGGTTGGTGTGATATCTACACAGAAAGCCGTCAGATTCTAAAATCTAATCAAAGTCTTTTGCCAGGCGAGTGCTGCCCTCAGCTTTTGCGATAATCTTATTGTCTTCTGGCTGTTGAGGCTCTCCGTAAGAGGGAAAATAAGCATGTTTCCAATACGCCAAACACTTTTCCTGTAATTAAGAAGCAGCTCATACATTGAGGGTGAGTCAGCTTTTCTCACTTTGAAATAACCAGGGGAATTTAGCCAATGTTTTAGCTGTTTTTTTGCCCTGCATGATGTTTTCAGATGTAACACTTTGGTCATGAAAACAAATCTTTGAAGTGAGCGCAAATGCAAATGCAAAACCAACTCATATTAACACTTTACGCCATAAAGCCATTAGGCCATAAAGCCATGAAGCAAAATCTGATGTTTCAGGGCTGGAAACTATGAGCCCCCCAGTCTGCAGGCCGGCTGAGATCAGCACACTTCAAGACAGTTTAAGGTTAACAAGCATCCTGGTTTTGCTCTAATTTGTTTATCTGCGTTTCTTAAGCCGACCACCCACCTCTAACGGTATCTCTCTGGAAGTCCCGATATAGCGTTTCAAGCCGCATCTGTTTCAACTCCCTCCTCAACATTTGTCTGGAAAATGTCCACCCGTGATCAATTAGGCCTGGTGCCTGCCCCCAACCCCATCCAGTCACTCATCCCGTCGCCGTGTTCTGATGAGAGTCAAATCAGTGCGAAGCTAAAGAGAAACTTAAACAACCGGCTGAGATGGAGAACACAAACCCCCTCCGAGCCCAACGAGAATGGAGGCTGCAGGTTACTGATTTGGGTATTTGTAGTTGCTTATGATATTTACGGCTTCGGCTCCTAACGGCAAGCGGTCGCTGTACTCTGAGCCCATCTCACAGTCGTCTGAGTTCCCCCTGCACTGGGACAGGGCGTAGGACTCGGTCACCACGCTCTCCTCCGTGTCCGGCTCCTTCCCCCCCCTCCTCCACGCTCTCCCCGTCCTCCTCGTCCAGCTGGCTGCCATTGATCCTCCTCTGGGACTCGGTGTGGGGGGCGTGCATCTTCAGGTTGGCAGCCAGGTTCCTCTCCATGTGGTACTGGTCCTTGGCCTTCAGGATCAGCTTGTAGGTCTTGCTGCGGTACTTGTACGCCAGGTGGAAGCAGGTGGCGCCCAGCAGGGGCACGGTGGACACCGTGAGGAGGCAGATGCTGACCGAGACGATGATGAGCAGGTTGGGGACCCTCCTCCGGGTGGCGAACAGCACCTGGACCTCGCAGTCCTCGCCCCTGTAGGTCAGGCACAGCGAGTAGTTGGTGCTGGGCCGCAGGCCGCCGAACCGGTAGGTGTCCACGCCCTCCCTGATCCTGGTCCACTGCACGGCCGAGTGCCTGCTGTCGGCCGCCATGCACAGGTACAGCCCGTTTAAGTGGGCTTCGGGGGGGCTGTCGGGCTCCTCGCGCCGGCCCCTGGGCATGAGGAGGGGGTTGAGCCGCACCGAAACCTCGGTTTCCGATACCCCCAACGCGATAACGCCAAAGTCAAACGTGTACTCCCTGACCTCCTCCAGGCTCCGGTTTAAGGCGTCGCTGGAGATGTTTTTGGTGTTAGCCGTCAGGCCGCACTTGCTCGGAGGGGGAAGATACCTCGCCGCGTCCTCCTGAGACTCGGAACTGACGTCGGCAGTCGGGGGGGAAGTGGGCATCGCGGTCGGGGTGTCGCTTATC